TAGAGGGGAGATTCAAATCTTGAACTTTTCAAGTCTTCAAACTATCAATAATTATTAAAGATTTCATCATTGAATGATAATTATTAAAAACGAAAAAAGAATTTCTAGATGGTGAGGTAGTCTTAATAAAGAGCAACAAGGTCAGTGCCGTGTCCGTGAGCATATAGAGGAGGTTACCGTGGGTGGATTATTTACTTTAGTCTTTATTGTGAGTGACTGTGTGCTGGTTGGTGAGGAAAAGGAATGGTGAGACAAAGCAGTAATCCACAAAGGCTGTGAATGAAATATGGAGGGGGCAGAGCAAAGTGAACCAAGACAAGGTGCGTGGACTTACATTGAATTGTTTTGATTTGAAGGTGCATGAGTTTAGATTGCTTTTCATTGGATGAAATGATCTTGTGATCCAATTCAACTTTTGTATGCTCTGGCTGAAACTTTTGGGGGCGGCGGTTTCTAAGAAGGGACGAGCAATTTCATATTCTTTCATGTCCCCCACGTGTTCGACGTTTTGCTCAAGTGGGGTTGTGATTTTCCTTTTTCTGATTTTGTTGTTTGGCTCAGGTCAGGTGTCTTCGAAAATGCACAAGACAGGGATTTTTTTTTTCGCAGAAATTTACATAAAATTTCATACCTATATTTAAGATTAGAATTAATATTTAAAATTATATAATTTTAATAAAATATTATAAAAAATAAAAATAAGTTAATTAATTAATTAATTTTTATTTTAATTACACAATAAAAAACAATCATCTCTCATTATTTATCTTATCTCACTCCATTTACATCTCATATTATTCAAATTCATTAACTTTTAAATAACCACTAACTAGTGAAGTAATTCGTTTACTTTAATTTTTATTTTAAATATAAAATATTTTAATTAAAATATTAAAATAATATAATTTTAAATTAAATTTTCTCTTATCTTTATCAAGTCGGCAGTATTTCCTTTAAAATTTAAATGTATTAAAGAAAAAAATTTCCGATCAATTTCTGTTTTTTTACCGCCGCAGTGTACCGTCACTCTCCAGTCTCCAGTCTCCAGAGTGAGCGTATCTCCACGCCGTCGAATGCGACCGGCACCACCGTGACTGAAACTTCGGTCGTCGTCGCTGGCCGTTGTATTTCGTCGCATCAATCACGAATCGGAAAACAATACGCGTACCATCGGCTAATCCGATCCACAGCAGCATCTAACCGAGAACCTGACCGCGACCGGATGATGCCGCCTAGTTGATTCCCCAATTACAGGTAAAATGGTCAGATCGCTAAAGCTTATTATACAGTCCCATGTCCGTTTCGAATTTTAAAAAAAAATCATTTTTCATAATTTATCTTATCTCACCTCATCTACATACTATATTATTCAAATTCATTTGCTTTTAAATACCAACCAACTAGTGAAGTAATTCGTTTACTTTAATTTTTATTTTAAATATAAAATATTTTAATTTTTAATTAAAATATATTAAAATAATATAATTTTAAATTAATTTTTCTCTTATTTTTATCAAGTCGGCAGTATTTCCTTTAAAATTTAAATGTATTAAAAAAAAATTTCCGATCAATTTCTGTTTTTTTACCGCCGCAGTGTACCCAGTCTCCAGTCTCCAGTCTCCAGTCTCCAGAGTGAGCGTATCCCCACGCCGTCGAATGCCGCCGGCACCACCGTGACTGAAACTTCGGTCGTCGTCGCTGCCCGTTGTATTTCGTCGCATCAATCACGAATCGGAAAACAATACGCGTACCATCGGCTAATCCGATCCACAGCAGCATCTAACCGAGAACCTGACC